AAACTTGTAGCTTCATAGATTTATACTATCGAGTATTCATACTGAAAAAAACAAAAGTAATCTTGATTTTTTCATATGTTTTCGTAGAATGGTTTTATTTTATCATTGATATGGGTATGATAAAAGTAATATATGTGTCGTCCAAGAAAAAGAAAGAGTAATATATGTTAATCATACAAATTGGTGTTAAACCAAAAAGAATAGTAGTTTTCTTAAAACATAACCGTGAGATAAGTTAGTTCCGATCGTTAAGGGAATAAAGCAGATTATAGTAATTATATATCTTATTTAATATCAAGATTATCAATGATTGAAAATGTAATGTAACTCCCTTTCTAGGAATATGTCCAAAATTTAAAATATCACACATGAAATCAAATCATGACTTCTGTTTTAATATATAAGATACTGTCTGGAAAATATTTAATCTATTAAGATAGAGTTTTATATTTATCCACTGATAAAAAATCATTGGACCATTTCATTAGTAATTTTTACTCTTATCCAAAATAAATTTTTTATCACACTAAGAATATTCTATTATAACAATATTTATTTTGGAATATTTCATATTTTATTTTAATAAAATCTTATACATTTTTTTATTACTAATTTAAAATAATTCATTAATTCGTAATTATTATTAAAATATTAGAAATGAATGTTTTAAAAAAAAAATTAAAACAATAAAATTTTTATAAGATATTATTTTAATTTATAAATTTCAAATTGAAATTTAGAAAAACATTAAGTTTAATAAAATATAAGTTATAAAAATAAAAATATTATTTAATTATATGATTTCTAAGTTTACAGTTGATGTTTTATGTTTGTTAATTAAATAAAAGAAATATAGCTTATCTAGATTACTAAATCCTTAAAATAAATTTCGACCAATGAGAAATATAAAAAAAAATCTAATTCATTTTCATTAAAAACATCAAAAGTTTAACGAACATGTTAAGTAGAGCAATTATATTTAAGTAGATAAACTAGATAATTTATTATATTTTAATTTTTATAGAATTTTATTTATTTTAAAATTTAAATTAAAATGTCAAAATACAAATAAATTATCTATTAATATATGTTGTTTCATAAAAACTAAAAGATATTAATAAAATAATGAAGAATTATATATTAATAATATCAAACAAGACATATTAAGTTACATAATATAAAACACCAAATTGAAATAATATATTTATCAATTTGTCATAAAAAATAAATAAAAATAATTATAAAAATGAAAAAAAAATCCGTGTGGACGCGTGGTTTAAAGTTTAGTTATAAATTAAAAACGTGTTCTTATATTTAGAAATTGGAACTTACATGTAAAGTAAAGTGACAAGAAGTTTTTTTTTTTTTTAAAGTGAACATATATATCGTTTTATAACTGAACATATATATCAAAGAGACTACAAGAGATCTATCTATGATATTTTTTTCAAATAAGCTCTAAGCGGGAGGAGCGCTGTCGCTGGAGAAATGTTTCTTAACATAGTTGTTAATGAAAGGGTTACTGGACTATCCAAATTCCGTATGTTTACAATTTTCATTCAATTTCTCGATCTTGGCGCAACATCCAGAACCAATGTTTGTTTTTTTTGTTAATTCCTTATTCAAACATTTTGTTACCATCATGTAACTGGAAAAAACACTTCTTCAACTCCCCATTTGGGCTGTGTTTGTGGGTAGCTGAGGGCGCGTAAGAGTAACTCGACCATCGGAGCTCTTCGTCATCTGTTACGTCAAGGAATTGAGATGTGACACAGCTTGAAAAGAGAATTATAGCAACAACAAAAATGTGAGATTCTTCATTTTCTTTGCATTCTTTTTTTCCGCCAAATTGGATTATATTCATAAACCTGAAAACACAATACAACTAGATGCCCATAGAAAGCGGCTACTTTAACTCATAGTAAGCAGCTACTTGAACCCACGCCAGGGGTGCCTGAAACCCACTCAAGGACGACCAACAAGATGGAATACAAAGTCTACTACATAATCTGAAGGAAAAGAAAGATCTCTTCAGCAACTAAATCTCATAAGAAGGGAAACTAAATCCCATCAGAAGGGACACTAAAGCCCACTCATCAGGCACATAAGCAATTACCCAACAGAGAAAGGAAAGTCCTTTGTAGTGGACCGTGATTGAGAATTTCCGCTGTTGTCCTTAGCCCTACCACGCAAAAATATCAATCTCCTATACCACGACTTATCGTTGCTGCCCAAGCACGCCATGCGATACCGTCCAAGAACCCAAACCCTGCGACTTCATCACCCGACCGGTATAACTTCTTCACGATTCACAAAACCTACGGATATAGATATGACGCGCAACGCGTCCAAATACTCCACGTAAGAAGCCCATACACAAACACCATTAGACGAAGCCTTACTCAACGACTCTCCACTAAGAACAGAATCGATAAGCGATCACTGCATCCACTACTAATGGTGAAGTTGAATTCTTTGCATTCTTTGTCGATGTGAAGTTGAAAAAAATGAGAAAAAATAATGAAATATGCTTTTAGTTTTGTATTGCTTTGAGGTGAAACTACGTCATGGTTTATATCTCTTATAAATATTAAAAGAGAAGCATTGTAATAAATGCGTTCATATCATAATTGACACGTGTTGGCTTCACAATCATTTGGCAATAAATGAGTTTACACACTAATTTTTTAATGTGTTTATACACTATTTTTTTAATTAATTTATTTTTCCTACATTTTTAGCTTTGTATTAATAAATTAAAACTTTCTACGAAAAACTAATGAATAATATATTTATTGTAAAAAAATTACAAAATCATTAAGATTCGCATCAACTAAAATGTTGCGATGAAAATGTTTGTAAAAATTAAAAGTTTCGTACCTTGCCGAAGTTGGTCATGGTTGAGGCTTCGGTACACAATAACAACAAATAAGGTGATTGATTATGAATTAAAGAAGCGGAGGTGAAAAACTCCACACGTAAAGTCGGATCTTTAGTTTAGTCAAATAATAACATTTTTATAAAGTTTTCATATCAGACCAAGAATTAGAAACAAAATCAAATTGGTAGAAAAAATCAGAAATCAGAAAAGCTTAAAAAAAATAAAAAATCACAAAATCGATTAAAAACAGAATTCAGGTACCAAATGAGATGTCACTTTATAATATATATTATTTTTATTGTTTATGGGTACAATTTTTTTTCTGCATATGAAAAATGTTATTAATTTCTAGGTTTATTTTATTTTTAATTAATTTTATTTAAGAATTTACTATCATGTGTTATATTACTTAACTAAGGGTATATTCATATATTTATCATCACATTTATATATTTTTACATATACATACATGTACATATTGACATGAGCGACTATATAACTAAATATTCACCACAATTGAGAATTTTAATTCTTATTAAAGTTGGTTTTTTAATGTTTCTTTCGCTATCGTTCAAATTGTAGATAAATGTTTTATGTTAATAATTTTATTTTCTTTTTTTCAAATATTATTTAGATTTTATTTGATTTTACATGTCTTTAGAAATTATAATAGGAAACTATTAGTTCGACATAAAAAATGTCTAAAATGTATATAAAATGAAACAAAACAAATAACAATATTTTTTGGTTATCATCGAAAAAAATCAAAAACATCAAACATTTAAACAAAACAAACTGAAATAAATATAGATTTAGAATGATAGTTATATTTTAGGTGATTAAAAACAACGTAAAACTGAACTAATATTCATACTAAACAGACATAATATCATTTTATCTTAAAAGTAACAAAACTAATAATTCTGCGTAATGCGCGGGTTATTATTTAGTATAAGTTTACAATGAATACATTTATAGCATACACAAACAAAACATAGAATGAATGACTAAGTACGTAAGACAATAATTGTTTATATTCGATTAAGGACATAAATCAAAATTTTCATGTTGTTAACCAAAAAGATTGTATAATATATATGTCAATGTTGACCAAAAATATGGTATAATATCATAATAATATCCTATTGTCATTTTTTTTTTTTGTTTACTATCCATTTGGTTATACCAAATTATAGTCAGCAACACAGTCATTCGAAGATCACTACAGTTTGACTGAGTCTGATTTATAGGGGTTATATAGTCATACCTTATAATTAAAAACAACATATTTCAGAATATTCTACATTTTTCACATTATTATCCTAAACTAAAAAAAAGTTCAAAATTAGGATAAGATTCACAACCTAAATCTAAAAAGATAACTACAAACACATAACATAAACCCCTTAAAAACAAGAGTTGTCATTAATTCAAAATAAACTTCAGTTTAAATTTAACAATGTGATTCAGCTTGTATTTGTTTTGTATAGATAAAAACTAAAATTTACCAAAAAATACTAAAAACTAGTATGTATTGAAATAAATCTGACAACCAAAAATATTAAAGCTAGAAAAACTAAACCTATAATCATTCTTTTTTTGAAGATTTAAAATTATTCTTTTGCAAGTTCAAATAATAAACTTGTAGTCACTGTTCTCTACTTTATGTAAGCTTCAGTCGAATACAAACCATCATAGTCTATTGGAAAAAAAAAACCAAAAAAGAAAAAAACTTTAATTTGAATTATCTTTTAAATTTTTTTAGCTTATTATTCTTCTGATTTCTGTTAAAGTTAAAACATAGAAAAGTTAACCATAAGTTGCATAACGTCTAACTTCTCTTGACAAAATAAAAACGATACTATTTTCCAGAAATATTGTTCGGCCATTTACAACTTGTAACTTTCATGTAGAGTAAAGTGACAAGAAAAAAAACAAAGTGATGGCTATAGACTAGTGAAAACACGGCGATACATTTGAATATAATATAATCGACATACGCGCAATCAACCATATAATTTCAACATGTATATGCACAGCTGTCTATCTCCACCTTGCAAATAACATTATAAAAATAATAGTCTGTAACCATATCTTCCTCGAACATTCTTTTCTATATATATACACACTTATGTCTTCCTGGATCCTGTCCTAACACACTCTTACCCTTTCCTTCTCTTCAATCTCTCTTCACATAATGGGAAACTACGTTTCTTGTGGTCTAAGCAACACAACCTCTTCTTCTTCTCCTTCATCAATAGTGATTCTCCCTGACGGCGAAGTACGTCACATTCACGCGCCGACTAAAGCGGCTGAGCTTATGATGGAGATTCCTAGCTTCTTCCTCGTCGACGCCGAAACGTTAAAGATTGGTCGGAAACTTAGCCCTTTAGCCGCAGACGATGATCTTGAAACTAGTGGCTGCCATGTGTACGTCGCTTTCCCCATGACGCGTGCCACGTCAGCAGCGAACGCTTCGGACATGGCTCGGTTATTTGTAGCCGCTAAGAAACAACAGCGCCGCCGTGTCGGAACCAAATCTTTAGCCGTGAAACACTGTTACAACGGTAGGGTTTCGCCTGAGGGAGAGGAGGATGATGACGTCAAGATGATATCAGCGGGGTCTAAGCTGAGTTTAGAAGACATTGATGAGTTCTTAGCGGCGGAGTTTATGCATAGAATCTCGACTTCGAGATCTAAGAAACCAAAGTTGGCAACCATAACTGAAGAAGAATCTTTGTCTTAAACGCACATGAATTTAAACAAATATTAGAATTTGATTTTTTTTCTCAAAAGATTATGTTTTTAAATATTACTCACTCTGTTTTGAAATGATTTATGTTTTGGAATTTTTTTTGTTTCAATGCATTTTATATCAGTTAGATAATTGTAAACTGTATATTTCAAAGATAATTAATTATGTTTATCAATCTTGATTGGTTAAATGTTTACATAACAAAAAGGGTTCTTTTTTAATTACCAGACATAAGGAATCTTTCTGATGGGTCGATGCCAAATTTGATGCGAGTATGAGAATTTACATGTCCTTCATATGTTTGTACAGCGACCCCTCTCTTAACCATTCTTTGATCGTATATAGCTTGATCTAACAAAAGAGAAAGGTTTGTCTTCTTTAGATAAACGATAGAAATAGTTAAGTATATGCAAAAGCTAAAGCTAGTACCGTTCCATACATAAAGCTTGTCATTAAGTATTGATCATAAGTTAGAAACAGAGAGGTAAAGATTTAGTAAAATAAAATACCACAGGATTAGAGGCTTGTGTCTTTAAAATCTCCTCCTTGAAGTTCAATCTCTTCTTATTAACAGTAACAACACTGCCACTTAGCTCTCTGGAACAAAGTAGCTTTAAAGGTTTTAGCTTCTTTCTCTTCTGATAATTAGGTTCCTAAACAAGTTAAAGGCAACTTTCATTGATTCTCCAAAAAAAAAGGACACTCCATTGAATTGCTAACATGTGCTGAATATAAAATAGCTTTAGGTTTTTGGTTTTGACTTGGTTCGAATTAAACTGGAACGTGTGTTTTTATTTGTTTTTGGTTTAGTAAAGTAACACACGTGTCTGTCATAAGAGAAGCTGAATAAGTGAGAAGCTAGAGTCCCACATCGGAAACTCGGAGAAGTTATGACCCGTTTATATATGTTTAGAAAACATTGGAGGTCACGACCTTACTTGAACAGGATCTGTTCTATAGGGAGCACTTCTGAATCCTTGATTTCCAAGGAGACAGACCTTTAAAAACCTCATGATGAAACATGACCGTGCGATTTGAGTGTGATTGACGGTTTAGATTGTATTGTCTTCTGACCCTCCGCGCTGTAGAGGATTGCTACTTTGGTTTCCTTTTTTTTTCTTATACCCTCAAACTTTTAATTTATCACATTTTATATCATCCGATTAAACCCTAAGTATTTTGAATTAGATCTCGAATTGTCTGATAGGTTTCCTTTTTTTTCATATATCCTCTAACTTTTAATTTATCATAATACTATCATACCAGACCTTTTTTTATTATCCAATTAAACCCTAAGTACTTTGAATTAGGGATCGAATCTGAAAATATCCGGTTCTCTCAAACCGGACGTTTACTTAACATATGATTTAATGGTTTACAGAAAACCGGAATCGGTGTCTCCTTTTTTGCTTTTAAGCTTTTTTAGTTGTTGCAGTGAGTGAAGAAGAAGGGGAGAAGCAAATGGAACCAATGACGCCAATCTCGTGCCCTACGACTCCTCGTTGGAACCAAGACAGGCCGTTCCTCACTGGCCGTTTCCACCAGGTTCCTCCCATCTTCAGATCTTTGTTATTTTTTTTTTTGATTTATTCTACAATTCTCTCGAATCAAATTTGAATTTTCGAGAATTTTTTTTTTAATTTGGTAGAAAGAAAAAAGTTGTTAGCTTTGATAATGGGTTTATTTATTTATCTCAGGAAATGAGGGCAAGCTCCAAACTTGCTGATTCAAAACGGTTTACTTCAGACTCATCTAGGTATATTCTGAACTTAAGTTAGTTGCTTTGTTCTTCGTGTGAAAGCATTCAAAATCAGTAATCTTTATGTCTTTGTTTTGTCCAATTTTCCATTTGGTTTCAGCAATTCTGGAGTAGATCAAGCAATTGGCTGTTATGACACACCGGTTCAGGTTTGTGTGTTTGTGTCCTTTTTCTCTTGGGTTCCAATTACTCTGTGATGCTTTTATTCTGTGATATCTGGTGGTGAGATAGTTAAAGCTTGAGTTTTAAGGTGTTTAGTTTTTACAAATTGGGATAACGGTAGATAAAATGGCTTTGGCTTCTCCTTTTCGTGGCATAGACTGGAGTAATTGGTCTGAGGCAAATAGATTGTAGAGTTTCCTAGGCTAGGTTGGGACTTGGTGTCATCTCTTGCATTTATGTTTATTCCAGTAACTTTTTTTTTTCTCTTTTGGTGTGCAGGAACTTATTGTTATTGATGATCTCTTGTCTGCGTTGGTTGGAATTGAAGGGAGATATATATCAATTAAGAGATTCCATGGGAAGGAGGAGAGTATAGCATTCCAAGTTGATCCATCTATGGATTTGGCGTTACAGGCAAGTAGTACTCAGCAGAATAAACTGTAGTTCTTTTGTCCGAACATTTTTTAAGCAAGATTTTCTAAACTTTAAAACTGCAGAAAACTCTGTGATTGCTAACCGTGTTATGATCTCTTCTTTTTGGAGCAATGTTGCTCAAGTAAAGACCGGATTTAGCTCTTATTTACAAAGTCTTTCACGTTTTTAGACTGTTATATTGATTTGCAAGGTGTTTTCCTCTTCATGTATGTTTATGGAACTTGATTCTATGTTATTTGAAAGTAAATGGCATTTCTCTGGTGTTCTGAAGATTTAAAGTTTAGTTATCTGCGAACTCTAACCAAGGGAACGCATGTATTATTCTTTTAATGGTTTTCTCCTTCTTTTGTGCAAATGCTTCTATAAGAAATTAACATTGTAAGTATATTCAATTTTTGCAGGAAATGGCAAAAAGAGTATTCCCTCTATGTGAATGCTTTCTGTTGATTGACCAGTTTGTGGAGTCAAGCTCGCAGTTCAAGAACGGGCTAGTTAACCATGCATTCGCAGCTGCACTCAGGGCACTCCTTCTTGTATGTGATATAGGTTGCTACCTTTGTGGTAATTGTGTTGCATTGTTTGTTGAGTTGTATTTCTTTTTCATGTGGGGGAAGCGAACTGGACATAGATTCCATAAACTGAGTAAAGTTTGGGGATTTACTTAGTTAACTGAAAGCATAACATGGAAAGTTCAGTTTAGAATGCCTTTATCTTATTATTTGGGCTTCTTTCTTGACTCCTGAATTGGTGTCTTTATCACATTTCTGAGTGTTTATTTATGCATGCGTATGAATATCTAAAATTACATGAATAGCTCTTTCTGCTTTCCTTCTTCCAAGTTTTTGCCGTCTCTGTAACCCCTCTCTCAGTATTGCTCCATTGGATAAATTGATAGTCTGATTTTTTCTTCCCATTTAACATGTTGAGTTTTGAGTCTTTTGTTGGTTTACATTGTTTTGAGTCTTTTGTTGGTTCACATTGTTTTGAGTCTTTTGTTGGTTCACATTGTTTGAATTGAGAGCTATCATTCCCTGTTAGTGTTGAGGTAATTTTACAACATGCTTTGCCAATGCTGAAAGTATTTAATCATCTGTTCTTTTACCAGGATTATCAAGCTATGGTGGCACAACTGGAACATCAATTTCGACTTGGAAGACTTTCTCTCCAAGGATTATGGTTTTACTGTCAGGTCTGTCTTGATTGTTTGTTTGTTTGTTTGCTGTATAATCCAAGCTACAAATTATGTAAAGGTATGCTGATTGATTGTTTTTCGTATCTCTCAGCCCATGATGGGATCCATGCGCGCATTGGCTGCAGTAATTCATCAAGCTTCGGCAAAGAATTTTGTGGGTTGTGGTGTGCTTAATCTTTTGCAGAGTCAGGTAGATTCTAGCTTTGATTGTAAAAATACCCTTTGAGTTTTATTTTTTGTGTGCTGGAATTCTTATTATGTCCTAATCTTGAAGACTATTATGCCTAGGCTAAAGCGATGGCTGGTGATAACTCAGTGAGGTCATTGTTAGAGAAAATGACCGAGTGTGCAAGCAACGCATACCTGAGCATATTGGAAAGGTTAATTTCCCATGCCTCTTTCTTTCTTACACGTAACTAGACTCATAGCAGAAATTACGCTATAACCTCTTCACATTTCCCTTTGTTATTGTTTGCGGAAATGCTCAGAGCCTCAGACAATCTAAGTCTAACTTGTTGCTATGCTTTTTTGTTTGTTTGTAAGGAGTGATAAGCGAACATAGTTGTTATCTTTTGTTTTGACTGATCTGTACCTGGGTTACCCTGTTTGCTAGATAGCTCATACTAATCTCAGATGCGTCAACTGACTTGAATTAGTGTTTAATTAAGGTGGGTCTATGAAGGGATCATTGATGATCCGTATGGGGAGTTTTTCATTGCTGAGAACAGGTCTCTTAAAAAGGTACTTTGATCTTTGCTCAGATTGCCTGCATAATGATCAATTGCTTGATCTTACAATTTTAAGTTTCTTTTTTTTGTGTGCAGGAGAGTCTCAGTCAGGACTCTACAGCTAAATATTGGAGCCAAAGATACAGCCTCAAGGAGACTATTCCTGGCTTCCTTGCAAACATTGCTGCAACAATATTGACAACAGGGAAATATCTAAACGTTATGAGAGAATGTGGGCACAATGTTCAGGTATGAGTGTGGACGAATTTTTCTTGTAATTAATACGGTTAACAGTGTTTATGATATTGGACATGAAATTGGCTGATAATTTTTGGCAGGTTCCCATCTCAGAGAGATCTAAGTTAACAATATTTGGCTCAAATCATCACTATCTTGAATGCATAAAGGCTGCTCACGAATTTGCCAGTAAAGAGCTTGTGAGTCTCATCAAGGATAAGGTAACTAATTCTGTTATGATGACTGCTTCTTTGATGTCATTCTGCGTAAATACACTTCTCTGACCATCAGTATATGATTCAGTATGACCTTATTGGAAGGCTTCGATCTATAAAGCACTATCTTCTTCTCGACCAGGTATGTTGGTTCTATTCATGGATTACCAGTCATCTTTAGAGTTCATCATACTTTGCTAGGCACTAATTTATCTATGTGACTAGTATTTTATCATCTGTTAATTTCTAATTGTTTTTGGTAT